TAAAGCTATAGTCCATCATTTGCAGCCATCCGAAAAAGTAACTGGCGTATTATTATTGAAAAACATACTTGGTTAAAAGATAGTAAGTGGACCTCCCTGTGAAATTAATCTTTCTGGCAAGCTATCATTTTGAAGTAATCAACGAAAGAAGGTTTTTCCTACGGTGCGTCTTAAGACGCACCGTAGGAAAATTTAAATTAGAAGTTCGTTTTGTTATTCAGCGCAGCGCGCGCAAGCATTGGCGCGACGCACAGGCGCGCAACGGTCACATTCGTCGGACAGTGCGCGACATCGCGTATAGCTGCAATTCAAAACAATTCAAACCATGATTCAGCAACTTTTGATTTGAAATTGAGATCCTAGAATGCTGTTTTTCTCGGAATATACAGCTGAAGCTGAGCTGAAACTTCATCAGGTTAATTGTTCAGTATCCTTCATTAGATTTTGAACACTTTTGTTGCTTCAAACGGACAAAATGCAAAAATTACAAATGATGGAGTATATCTTTAAGTCAGACAACGTAATGTTCGGCAACATTGGTTGTACTGCGATTGAAAGAAACCTAAAGGTATAGCCTAACACAATACTACATGTAAATACAAACTGTACTTGATATGGTAAGCTTTTTGTCCGTTTCTTCTGACATGGCATGGTATGGTAAGTATAAAAATGATAAGTATAAAATGACCCTAATTTCATAAAATATCCCCCCGGCCAGCCCTTCGCACCCGGGCCACTCGCCACTTACTCTAAGTATTGACCGTCATGTTCACCGAACACACATTTCTTGTAGCGGAGATCGCACTTGAGTTGCGTGCAGCCGTCCAGGTTGCAATCCTCGCTCGCCTGGCATGGTCTTTTCCAATGCAGATAGCAAGGATCTTTGGCGGCAGTAGTCAATTGGGCCACCATGGCCTAAAAGGAAAGTACAATGATAAGCAATGAGGAGCCTGTTTACAAAGTCACTATAGCCTACAAAAGAGCATGTTGCAATAAAGCGCATCACTACTTCTCTCTAGTTCATTACAAGACTTCCACAAGTCCATTACATTTGAATCACAAGTCAATTCAAACAATAAACTATTAATTGAACAGTTTCATTGTTGATTTGACCAAATTGAAACTGGTGAATTTACCCGATATAAAATTTACTCGTGGCCTGAGTTGTGATGTTCTTGTGATGGTCTCGAATACAACATTGAAGAAGGCAGGTGGTTCTTGAATAATTAAAGGGGGGGGGGGGGGAAGGGACGGGGGCTACCTGGGAATCACCTCTGAGAAAATCAATGTCTTATAGAAATATAATTATTCACTTCAATGGTGTACACGAATGCGCAAACGTGTAGGCCTGTGGTTGTCGACCTTCATTTCACCATGCTAAGCCTCAACCAACGGGAGGGTTTTTTTTCAATATGAACGCCAATTCCAGAAGTGAACCCGTTTGCTTTATGCCAGCTGCAGTTGATATTGCCCTATACCTCGCGTTGTCAAATGTGTTAATTATCGTTTGACAAACATTTTAATAATGTAGCTGCATGGCATGAAAATGCCAGCAAACCAATGCCTACAAATGCACCTGGCTAAATGAAAACTGATTGTTGATACACAGTTTTCCAGGGTTCCTTGTCACTATGGGGGGGGGGGGGGGGGGAGGGGATCAAAAAGTCAACTTACCACTCCAAAAATAGCGACGAAGATGACGACAGTTCGAAACGGAGCCATTCTGTTACGGACTGACTTCACTTCAGAAGAGTCCAGCGATCTGTGGAGTTTCCTTCACAACCACCAGAATTTATAAGATCCAAGGAGTTTGATTCTCTCTCGCGCCTTATCGACTTGGTGATAACAGTCGAGTCACGAATTGATTTAACACTTCATTATTTGGTCAGGTTTTAATTAAAGCGATATCGGATACGAAAGATTATATGTTGTACATCACTGTTGAGTGTATGACACTTTTACTTGCCTGTTTATTTGTTAAATCTTGTTCTTCAAAACTATACAATTTTTGTTTCCTTTTCACAAGATGACGTACCTGTGCGTACACAACTCAAACCTATACTGTCGCAACAAGATTCAGCCAGCATGCACCGCTTACACTCTTCCTAAAACAATACAATGATATTGTTTTCGTTTTTGTTAATTGGTTTATATATAACCGTCCTGTCCTCGCTCATATTTAATCCCCTCTGATGCTGATTGAAATAAAGGAACTAAAAATGAATTAAAAAAACACGTTTCTTATTGATCTGTCATTCATTGTAAACACTGAGCTCATTTGTCAAAGGGGAGCAGGATGTTGTCCACAGTATCCATACCGATAACGAGTTCGATCAAATACCCAAGCTTTGAAAACTAACAGTATATAAGATATTCAATGAATGCAAACATTGTCAGCTTGCGTGCTTTCTCTCGCTTTTACAAGTTCATGATTAATTGACCCAAGTTCACTGTACATCAATGTTTATCTCTTGTCAATCAATATGTTATTATCCTGACTGGAATTTTAATGGGAAACTTGCATTTCGATCCAGCAGCATCAATCAAAGACATAGATTTGTGCTTAAATACTTAGCATTTGAAGAAAAAAACAACAAAACGAGCCCGTTCGGATCTCGGAATCATGCTAGCCAACGAATGCGTGTTCATTTATGAGTCACGTGATTGTGTCATGTAATTTCTGGAAGTAGTGTTTTGAGTAAAAGAATCCGGTTTTTGACCCCAAAGACCGCATGATTACCTTTGACCCCAGTTTGGTCACATGACATGTTGGGGCGGGACTACTGATACTTTTGACAAAGTTTAGAATGATTGGTTGTCAATTGGGTAGAAGTGTCAATGTTATAGTTACTAACTTTAACGGAAAGACATGAAAATTTGTTGAGCTGCTATTCCGCAGCAAAAAAAATTGCCAGTTTAAGGCCAAAAAAAGAGTCTCCGGTTTCTGGTATGCGCGCGCGTCGCCGTAGCCATGCGCGTCGGCAAAATGGAAAAGTTTTTTTTTCAATGTAAGATGATGTCTCAAAACCGCCAAACTCACTGGTTTGACTGGAATCCTGCTGCTGCACAATTTTTAAGTGTTTTTACTAGATGGGGTTACGATTGAGTATAAGCTTTATGTGGCCTCTCTGGACTCCCATATATTTGCACTAAGTTTAGTCGGGCACCATTTGCAGTCATCAGCTGACATTTGAAGGAAAGAAAAGGACCAAAAAAAAAAGCCGCGTCGCCGCACCACTTTTGGGGCAAGCTCCATACCAGAAACCGGAGACTTTTCTTGGCCTAAGCTTCACCCGTCAAAGGAGAGAATTATTCAAATGAAATGGAAACTACAAAGACAAACAATGAAACAATAAAACATTCGTGTTCATTTCCGAGTCAAGTTTGAATAAATTTCTTCATGAAAGTTTATTGGAATAGTTAAAACCAAACATGAATCATGGAATAGGTGTTTGACAAATCCGTAACACATGTCATATCCCAAGTTCAACAAACGTGACATTGGTACATTGGGGCAATGCATAGGACAGACCACTTTACCATGAAAGTATCGTTCACTTATTCCATTCTTCCCCTATATCATTCCGGAAAAAAAACACAAATCCAAAACACTGATCCCAAACCAAAACAACTTTGACCAAAATCACTACCATGAAAATGTTATGTTTGGTAAAGTGTCTTTATTTTTCTTCACGATGCGACGAGCAACATTTCCCCGTGAGGGAACTATACAACTCCGAAAATACGCTATCCATAGCCAGTGTCCAAATTAATCATCTTTCGTTAGTTGAGTTCCTAGCTACATGTACAGTCGACTCTCGTTAATACAAACACTGTTAATACAAAGTCTCGTTATAACAAACATAACAAGCCTTGTACATGTACATGGTCCTGACTGTGCTTTATGTGCACAATGATGGGACCGGCATCCCACTTAGTAAAGTACACAATTCGGATATAACAAACGTTTGGCTAGGTCTGGCTGAGTTTGTATTAACGAGAGTCCACTGTAGTTTGGTACTTAAAGGGTTATGTAACGTAATTTTTGTTTAATGTAATCCTTGAAAATACACCTTTATGTCTCATTTAGTTCTAACCCTACTTTCAATTTTCTTTTGCCTTTTTTTCAAGGGCATTTTGGTGTCCTTTTGGGTTTTTATGCTAAATGCAAGTTTCCATATTCATGAGCAAAGTTGTGATGTAATTTCAGGCAGAAACCTCAATGTTACAGCTATTCCTGCATCAAAAGTTGCCAGAAATTTGAATATTTCGCGGTTGTGTACATGTACATTGTATTTTTGGTGACTTGTTGTTGTGTCAGTACGTGGCAGTATGCCAATGAGCAGACTTTTGTCACAAATGTACTTGAGCAAATTTGGGGTTCAAAATTTGAACAGAAAACCCATAAACAAAATAAACTGAGGAGTGTCCTCCTGAAATGACATCACAGCAACAGCGCTCTCGGTTGTCCGGAAAAGCATGGATAATTTTCAATGTCTAACGAAGTGCAGTTTTCAATAAAATAACCAAAAAGGGATGTCAAATAGTTTTCATGCATTAAAGAGGAATAGAAAGTTGCACGAAATATCCTCAGTTCCTCGGAAAAAATCATTTCATGGACCATTTAGGCCAAAAAAAAAAAATGCTCCGGTTTCTGGTATGCGCGCGCGTCGCCGTATAGCCATGCGCGTCGGCAAAATGAAAAGTTTTTTTTCAATGAAAGATGATGTCTCAAAACCGCCACACGCACTAGTTTGACTGGAATCCTGCTGTTGCACAATTTTAACGTGTTTTTAGATGGGGTTATGGTCGAGAATAAGCTTTATGTGGCCTCTCTGGACTCCCATATATTTGCCCTAAGTTTAGTCGGGCACCATATTTGCAGTCATCAGCCGACATTTGAAGCAAAAAAATCAGGTAAAAAAAAAAAAAGCCGCGTCGCAGCACCACTTTTTGGGCAAGCTCCATACCAGAAACCGGAGACTTTTTTTTTGGCCTTACCATTTCTTTATAAAACAAAACCTATAATTGTCCGTAATCGTTTATTTGATAAATTAGGCCTATGGAGTCTTGATTTAATCATTTTGTTAGATTTGTAAATCTATCAGTAAAATTATCTGAACGGGGTTGTTAAGAACTCAGCACTAAGGATACAGAAAAAACAACGAAAACTTGTTTGTATTGGAAACATTTGTTAAATATTTTAGTTTCTTCAAATTGACAACATTCACAGATTTTGATGAATGTATGTAATTTAAATATTCGTTACACTTATGTAAATGAGCAGGTTCATGCCCCCATGCTGTTGACTACGATCAGATGATGCAACTTTGTCATGGTCATCTAAAAAAAAAAAGAGGAGAAAGAACGCTAGAAATCGTAAAGTATTGCAATAACTTGTAGAGATAAACCCCTTTTGGAAAATGTAAACAAGAGATATGATTGCTACTCTGCTCAGGCGCAGCACGCACTGTGATGGCAATACTCATTTCAGTGCTGTTGTATGATGAAGTCATAATATTATGTGCCAGACAGAAAGTTGACCTTGAAATTTTACTTGCTGTATGTACATTTCCCTTTAATCATGTCCCTTCGCTTTTCCTTGGATGAATTTGAGTACAATGCAAAAGAGTTTACCCAACCAAATAGCGCCCTCCTATTGTGTCCATCATTATCGCAGAAGTATAATGGAGAAAGCTTATAATTACTGACGTTGTCGTCTAGTCGAAGATCCTCCTTTCAAAGTCCGACTGGCACCTGTTGAAGAGCCGGTTACAGCGGTAGTCGGTACATCCATTGGTAGACCCGCAGTTATCCTCACCGCACCGACGGCCAACGTAGACGCCCTCGCACATGGCAATCATCACAGGGTCAATTTCCATCACCTCATCTTCTTCAGTCTGCCCCTTTCAGAGTAAAACATTGCATGATAAGCTATTACGTTTCACGCCCTTTTCATTTTCTATCGGAATATACCTCACACATAATGACGTCACGCTTTGTTTACATGTGCGCTTTCCTATGGGAGCTTGGTGGATCGCGTCCCCACCTGACTCCCATAGGAAAGCGCACATGTAAACAAAGCGTGACGTCATTACGTCTTAGGTCTATTGCAGTCAAGTCCTCAGACGTTAGTCACAGGTTATCAAGTCTCAAAATCAGGTGAAAAGCTATTCCAATGAATTGAGACATGCACATTACGGACTCCGAACAGTACGAATTTACTAATTCACTCTCGATGTGTGGGTCGATTCAAACATGCCTATAAAAGAGCTCTCAGCTCCCATGCATACATCTGAGTCATAGTTTGTTTCTTATATTTTGGTTTTGCAGCAAATGTATTTTTTTTGTTCAAATACGTACTTTTCTAGTTTATCTGTAATTGTTCATGCTCAGGTTCTGTCTTGGTCCAATTGTCCGTGTGTACTAGTTCTTGTTTCTGCTCTGTGTATTAAGTCCGTCCAAGGCATCTCGACACAAGCCTAGGCTTCTATAGAAAATGCCTCCACACCTATATTTTTCGCTTCTTACATCTTTTGACATTTTTTTATGTATTCTTTGCTTATATTTGTGAGTTTGAATTGAATTGAATTGAAAAACAGTTAACATGACTCTGACTGCAAGAAACTCGACTATCGTCTTCGAGTACACGAGCGTCGCGTCAAGCGCAGTCGGCAGTGCGTTCTACTGTCTCTCCGAGTGGCCTCCCCTTTATCCTCTTTAAGTAGGCGTTGAAGAGGTATATTTGCGCATGGTGTTCATCATTGTTTATCGCTTGATGTATGTACATTTGTTGTAAATGCTTTTGTAATGGACTTGACGCATCTGCTTCTTGTACAGTCAACTCATGGCATATAGGTGTGATTAAAGTGTTTGATAAAAGGTTAAAAATAATGAGCCATAATAGTACAAAAGTACCTCCACCTAAATGCGTAATAAGACCTAACTTCATCTGTTTTTAAAGATTTATCATGTTGCCAACATTTATCTCACTTCGCGAATGCCACTGTTGCGAAGTTAGGAATCTCGGGCCTGAAATCCGATTGGACAGTTCCTCAGCACGTGCTAACGTCACGTGTGCTGGAACGCATCGCCATATTTGTACGCACGTGGATATTTAAATTAAGTTGACACCAACACCATAATGTCACCAGACCATGTCTAAAGATCGCAATGTGCCATCATGAGAGGGTTGTGCTCATTTTACTTGGTTGGGGAACCATTGGTGTCCACTATACTAGAAGGTATGGAGTCATCAGGGGGTGGGACAAACTGCTTCGCACTCAGACTCAGCTCTCAGACTCCAAACAATGCAATAATTTCGTTCTCAAGTCAGGCTGTTGAGGTATACCTATAAGCCGTGGATGTAATCTGTGTTGGCTTGATTTCTACATCTTTCCTCTGTTTCGGGTCCGGTCAATCGTAGGGGCGGATTCAGGTTTGGATCTAGAGTTGGTTTATCTGCGGGGGTGGGGAGCAGGCATCTGTGTGTTTTTCTGCATGATTTGTCTAGTTTTTGCGTCCCAAGAGGAGTGGGGGAGGGGCGTGTTGAAACCCCAACCCCTGTAGATCCGCCACTGGATCGAGAGGTATAACAAATATCGACCAATACCTCGGGACCACTTGCCTTAAAGGGAATGTACATCATTGGCTTTTGCTTTAATTTTCAGAAATGAACTATTTGAGGGGTTAGTATAATACTCAAATTATTGTTACACTGACATGTTTGAAGTTTTGTTTTCGAAAATGCTGGAAAAACCAAGAAAAACAAGAATGTTCAAGTAGTCTGGTTTCCTGACTCCACTGAAGATGAGATGGATCAATATTTACAGATGCCGGAAAAGTGTACGGTATTAGGGAACCAGTCTAGCTGGCCTGCACCCATTCATGAACATGAAACCAATAGCAAACAAAATTTGGACTGAAGAAAATGATAAATTTGGAGCAGAAGTGAAAAATAGTTAGGTTTTTCCTACGGTGGTCGGCCGACCACCGTTGGAAATGTATACGAAAATGCAATTTTTCTTGAAAATAATTTCACACCAGGTGCCACAATTTTACAGGATGCTTTAGACTGTCATTTACCAACATCCTGTAAGGTATTTCGTAAAAACCTGGTCGTTCTATTTTTCGATGTTTGCAAATGTTGTATTCACCTTTAAACCATTTTGTATTTGTATAGTTATATATTTACCTGTAATGGAGATATTACAGTCAGAATGATGAGAAGTATCACGCTGAACAACATGGCGAAACGCATCATGACACCAAGTAGAGTCCTGCCTTTTCAGTAAACTGCACACAAGGAACGCTCTAATTCGCTCCAGTGAAAGTCGACACCTACGTAGCAAAAAGTAAGATAATATCAGCACCATGATTGATCTACTGCTGGAAGGATGATGGTGATTGTGATAATAGTGACTGAGATCACGGATGATGATTACTATTATTACGGGGTCCGCTCGATAGTCCGAAGGTTCGATAGTCCAAAGGTTTTATTGATCCCAAGATTCGATAGTCCGAACACACAAATTTCCCATACACTGGGTTTCATTAGTCCGAAAATGAAATAAGGTTCGTTAATCCGAGCATTTTGATCTAGTCCGAAGGCTCGTTAGTCCGAAAGTTTGATAAGGTTCATTTTTCCGAAGGTTCGATAGTCCGAATTTAGAATAAGGTTAATTAGTCCGAAGGTTGAATAACCCGAAAATACACTAGGTTAAAAAGTCCGAATGACAATAAAGTTCAGTGCCATTTATTCGGACTGATGAACCTCATTGTCGATTCGGACTATCGAACTATCTATTCGGACTATCGAATTAGCTTTGGATCACTTCGGACTATTATCGAACCGTACTCCATTTTCGGACTTTCGAACACTCGAACCTTCGGACTAACGAACCTTCGGACAATGGAGCGGTAACCGTGAATGCGGATTTCTGCAGTTTAAAGAATGGAGGACAGAGGTGAATTAATGGTGAATGAGATGAGGGTAAAAACAGGTAGATTAATGACTATTGGCGTCGGCGACACTCTGTTAAGCAGATGAAGAAATCTTACGACAATTGCAACATTAAAGTCGGTGGGTTCAAGAGAGGCGAGAAGCTACATCAACAAAAAAGTCCCCCCTTAATACTTCTTTGTTTAACTCGAAAACGACTGGGCACATCTTGCTCAAATTACAACTAATCAATACAGAAATTCCTTAGCGATCCAGCCATAATCTTTGTTTGGCCAAAAACAGTTATAATGTGTACACAATTATGCAATTTATGACATGGTACCGAAAAAAAGTTGCACTTTTGTATACGTGCAAGGTGATTGTGAACCACAATTTGCATTTGTGCAACTGATTTCGGTATCGTTTGTCATAAATTTCATAAATTCGTACACATTGTTACTGTTTTTGGCCAAATAAAGAGTATGGCTGGATTGCTAAGGAATTTCTGTAGTCGTTATTTGAGCGAGAGGTGCGCAGTAGTTTTGGAGTTAGGACAAAAAAGTATTGGAAGGGGAGGGGACTTACTTTTTGATTGAGTGTATTATGATGTGACTGGTGTATGGCAAGGTTGATGGGTATAAGAAGGTGGAGGTGTATACATATATGCACATCGACACTTGGTTATTGGCGTACGGGGGTGGGGTGATTCGGGACTCAACTCAAATGACGCCCCTCCTCCACATCATCACCCAAACCAAAAGAAGAAAAGGTCAGGATCCAGGATCGAAGGTAATATATTAATGTGAATTAACTTTCCAATGTGAAGTTAACAAACTGCCGGAAAGGTAACCCAATAACACACCTGAACATTTTAATCTTGTGTCCAAGTATGGTATCCACAAGCCTTTTAGTATTTTGCCCGAGACATTCTGGAAAAGAGCCCACTGAAGTCAGATACTACACTCTAAAAAACGGTTTGCTAAAATCAGAACAGTAACAATTTCGATACCAATATGCTTGAGCATACAAACTGCCTTCACAATTAGCCTTGTTTACTGCCCGGTTGGTTTTCAGATTGTCTACCGAAGTTGGGCAAAAGATTGGTTTTCCTGAAAGTCACATTTCAGATAAACAAGTACCTGCAAAACCTGTCTGTTTTGGGACTTTGTTGTTGGTACAAAGATACCTGCATCCTATGATGAATCCTTACACGCGTCACAATGTTTGTAAACTGTTGCAAAAAGGGTTTACAATGTGTTCAAAAGTAAAACACTATAGGTGTTATAGTTTTTTCTGCGTATCGGTATTCCGAAACGGTATACACATGTACACCTGTTTGCTGGCCTTGGATTCAGTAATATCCTTCATCGCGCGGGAAACTGAACGTCATTTCGCAAACTCAAAACTAGTAAACAGATTCTAATGTTGTCCAAAACTGAAAATTTAAGTACTTGAAGTCAATGCGTGAATAATTATTTACCTTCTTTTGTCAGAATTCCAATGTCCCGTCAGGTTTGCTGAGACGACAAACACACTATCGCATCGTGACCAAATTACAGAAGAGTTCGGTCTGGCAACGACACAACGACGGATCAATGCACCTCCAGCCCACTGGCACTATACACCTGGGTCTAGTACAGCTGACGAATACACTATGACGAGGAATTGAAAGGCTGATCCACTCAGCCAAAACATCCACAAACAGTTCTTAGTTTGGTCACGTTTTTATTCCGGACTCAGTATAGGCCTATTAAAAGTATCGATTTTTAACCGGTAAAACACTATATTAGCAAGAATTGTCCTGAACAGCTGCTTTTAAACATTTTGAACAGTGTGCCACGAATTGACATGTCTGGCTTTTATGTAGATTATGCTAGATAATGCTTGATGGTTAGAAAGACATAAGAAGCCAGGCTTTTTGGAGAGGGTAATGGAATCCCTCTACAAGACACTTTTACTGGCCCTGACTAAAATGTGAGTTCCGGCAGTTCATTTATCGACGGAATGGTTCTCGGGATTTTCTTCCTTTCAAAAAATCCCCATAGCTTTCCATCACACATAAATAACACTAACCCTTTGGTTTCAGGCAATGAAGGGTATAGAAACCTTATAGGGGGATTATATTTAGTGACCCAACTCATTGCGCACCGAATCGCTCTAGTTTTGTCCAGAACTCACAAATAAACAACAAATTACCTTTAAGTCAGTACCCCCATGATGTTTCAACGTTTTGGTTTTTTCCTAACGAATTTTCAAAAAGTATGATGTCCTTAAACGACCACCCCCAGCATTCCTTAAGAGCGTTTTATATTGCGCTTGTTTCACGCTCGACTGAGCAAAATTTAGACTTTGCCCGAGTTGGGTGTTGCGCTGGGTCTGATACAGAATGCGTACACGTACCTATACTGCGCTTGGTCTGTACAGTATGCGTACAAGTATCTACTGAAGTGGTACGCGTGCACTTGTTGCGCTTGATGATGGAATTCAGGGCTGGGCTGTAATGGCAGTGTGTGTTGTAGATAAAAAAAAAAAAAGAAGTACTTAGCATAGACCGATCTTTACGTTCAATATGTCATTGACTTTTTACGGGTGCCACGTCCCAAGAGCACGGAGAGCCTCCCTTTTATCGCGCCATCAACACGTAAACCTAGTTGTAGGAAAATGCTACTTGCTACTTTTGCTTGCGCGGTATTTTTGTTCACTAGATGCCTAGGCCCCTAATATCGGCAAATAGTTTATCATTAAAGAGGAGTAGAAATTTGCACACACAAAAACAGGGTGAGTAAAAAAAAAAGCGGAACCCAAACCCCCAAAATATATTTCATATTAAAAAAAATATGTAGCACCAAACATAATAATGACTGGAAAGCCAATTTCATAAGCTACTTTTAGATGGAAAAAAATACTGAAATTGCTCAATCCGTTCAAAGAATACCACCATTTAAACGCAATGACCGTAAAACCTGTTTCGGGAAAAAAAAGCAGTTTATTGTGTATTCTGACTGTTTGGAACAACAAAGAAAATGGCACAGAATACTTGTTTCAACAACTGTCAACAACTGTAGTACGCAATATCTTTATTAACAACCCTGATTAGGCAAACAATATGATTTATAAAATTCACTTTTTTTTAAACGACGGGCCTTCAAAAGGACTTTATTTTTAACTTTTAAACTGAGGTTTTATCGCTGGTGATGTTTGAAGACATTATTGTGACGACGATTCTTGAAATCGCATTTTCGGACGAAAGAGGTTTTAGGGTCGGTGTGTTTAAATGGTGATATTCTTTGAACGGATTGAGCAATTTTAGTAATGATTCCATCTAAAAGAAGCTTATGAAATTGGCTTTCCAGTCATTATTATGTTTGGTGCTACATATTTTTTTAAAATATGAAATAACATTTTGGGGGTTTGGGTTCCGCTTTTTTTGACTCACCCTGTACGTTCCTCAGAAATATTCATTGCAGGGACCATTTAATATTCCTTTGTAAAACAAAACCAAAGATTTTCCATAATCGTTTCTTTGATTACACTGTGGAGTGTTTTTATTTATAATTTTGTTAGATTAGTAAATCTATCAGTAAAATTATTTTTACGGGTTTGTAAACAACTCATTACTAAGGGATACAGAAAAACAAGCCGATACTTGTTTGTATTGGAAAACATATTCAAATATTTAGTTTCTAAAAATTGACAAACTTCACAGATTTCGATGAATAACTTAAATTTAAATATGTGTTACACTAAGGTAAATAAGCAAGTTCATGCCCCTATGCTGTTGACTACGATCAGATTATGCCACTTTATCATGGTCGTCTAGAGAACACAGGAGAAAAACACTGGAAATCATAAACTACTGAAATAACTTGCAGAGATAAACTCCTTTTGGATAATGTAAACAAGAGAAATTAAATGCTTAGGCGCAGTACGCACTTTGACGGCAATCGACCATTATCATGTTGCGGACATCTTGATTTTTTTCCATTCATATCAACGAAACCAAAGCGAGGCTGGAAGGAAAAATAGTCTGGTTCCTCTTTGCACAAAAACATTATCATTCAGTACTGTTATTAGGGAACATGACCGAAATGGTGGCAGCATGATAAAGGTCTATACTCATTTTAGTGCCGTTGTATGATGAAGTCATAATGTGCCAGACAGAAAGTTGACCTTGAAATTTTGCTTGCTGTACATTTAATCGTGCCCTTTAATCGTGCCCCTTATCTTGCATGGATGAATTTGAGTACAATGCAAAAGAGTTTACCCAACCAAATTGCGCCCTCCTATTGTGTCCATCATTATCTCAGAAGTGTAGGCTAAGGGAGAAAGCTTATAATTATTGACGTGATGTCTATTTGAAGATCCTCCTTACAAAGTCCGCCTGGCACAGGTTGAAGAGCCGGTTACAGCGGTAGACGGTACATCCTTTGGTAGACCCGCAGTTATCCTCACCGCACCGACGGCCTACGTAGACGCCCTCGCACATGGCAATCATCACAGGGTCAATTTCCATCACCTCATCTTCTTCAGTCTGCCCCTTTCAGAGTAAAACGTTGCATGATAAGCTATTACGTACGTTTCACGCATTTTTCATTCTCTATCGGAATATACCTCACACATAATGACGTCACGCTTTGTTTACATGTGCGCTTTCCTATGGGAGCTTGGTGGATCGCGTCCTCACCTGGCTCGCATAGGAAAGCGCACATTGTAAACAAATCGTGACGTCATTATGTCGTAGGTCTATTGCAGTCAAGTTTTCAGAAGTCAGTCACTGATTATCAAGTCTCATAGTCAGGTGAGAGGTTATTCAAATGAACTGAGACGAGCACATTCTTTTATGGACTCCGAACAGTACGAACCTATTAAATCAATCTCATGTGTGGGTCGATTCAAACATGCCTATCCGGTTCGTCGGTGACGTCATCTCAACTTATCCATGCGTACTTCACACGGTGTATATACAGCAGGAATGGAAACGGAAGTTAATGCAACTCGAGCGTTTATCCAATGGGCGCTAGTAATCAGTGGTGCGAGCGCGAGTATGACGGGTTTTTTTTAATAACGAACCGGATAAAAGAGCTCTCATCTCCCATGCATCTGACACACAGGGTGAGTCAAAACAAAGCGGAACCCAAACTCCAAAAATTATATTTCATATTTAAAAAAATATGTAGCACTAACAATAATAATGACTGAAAAGCCAATTTCATCAGCTACTTTTAGATGAAACAATTACTGAAATTGGTCAATCTGTTCAAACAATATCACCATTTCAACACATATGACCCTAAAACGTGTCTCGTCCAAAAAATGCGATTTCAAGAATCGTCGTCACAATTGTCTTCAAACATCACCAGCGATAAAATCTCAGTTTAAACGTTAACAATATGCAACAAAGTCCTTTTGAAGGGCCGTCTTTTAAAAAACTAGATTTTATAAATTATATTGTTTGCCTAACCAGGGTTGTAAATAAAGATACTGTGTACTTCAGTTGGTGACAGTTGTTGAAACAAGTATTCTGAGTCATTGTCTTTGTTGTTCCAAACAGTCACAGTAAATTGCTTTTTTGGACGAGACAGGTTTAAGGGTCATTGCGTTTAAATGGTGATATTTTTTGAACGAATTGAGCAATTTCAGTAATTTTTTTGTCTAAAAGTAGCTTATGAATTGGCTTTCCAGTCATTATTATTTTTGGTGCTACATATATATTTTTTAAAATATTATGAAATATATTTTTGGGAGGTATGGAGTCATCAGGGGGCAGGACAAACTGCTTCGCACAAGAGGTTCTTTTGCACTCGGATCCAGCTCTCAGACTCCAAACAATGCAATAATTTCGTTCGCAAGTCAGCCTGTTGGAGGTACCTAAGCCGGGGGTGGGGGTGGTTAGCAGGCATTTTCTGTGTTTTTCTGCACGATTTTCTTATTTTTTTTGCGTCGGGGGGGGGGGGGGGGTTGAAACCCCGACCCCCGTAGATCCACCACTGGATCGTGAGGTATAACAAATATCAACCAATACCTCGGGACCACTTCCCTTAAACCATGTTGTATTTGTGTAATTATATATTTACCTGTACTTGAGATATTACGGTCAGAATGATGATCAGTATCACACTGAACAACATGGCGAAACGCATCATGATACCAAGTAGAGTCCTGCCCTTTCAGTAAACTGCACACAAGGAATTCAACGCTCTAATTCGCTCCTGCGGAAGTCGACACCTATACGTTGCAGAAAAGCAAGATATTATCAGCACCATATGATCGGTCTACTGCTGGTAGGATGATGGTGATTGTTTTGTAGTGACTGAGATCACGGAATGCATCATAGCTCCATGTTCTCATTACGTTGTCCGCTCGATAGTCCGAAGGTTTATTGATCTCAAGATCTCGATAGACCGAACACACAAATTTCCCATACTCGGCGTTTCATTAGTCCGAAAATGAAGTAAGGCTCGTTAATCCGAGCATTTGACGCGATAGTTCGAAGGTTCGTTAGTCCGAAGGTTCGATAGTCCAAAGGTTCGATAATCCGAGGGTTCATTTTGTCCGAAGGTTCGATTGTCCGAATTTAGAATAAGGTTAATTAGTCCGAAGGTTCAGTAGTCCGAAGTGAAAACAAGGTTCAATAGTCGGAAGGATGATTAATCCGAAAATACACTAGGTTCAAAAGTCCGAATTAACAATAAGGTTCAATGCTGTATATATTTGGACTGTTGAACCTGTCAATTCGGACTATCGAACTTTACAATGACGGGTTTTTGCAGTTTAAGAATGGAAGACAGAGGTGAAATGGTGGTGAATGAGATGAGGGTAAAACAGGTAGATTAATGGTGAAGCGTTGGCGTAACTCTGTTTAGCAGATGACGAGAACTTACGACAATAAGTCGGTGAGGTCAAGAGAGGTGAGAAGCTAGTATGGAATAATGAAGTGACTGTGTATGGCAATGTTTATGGGTAAGAAGGTGGCGGTGGCCGGTATTGTATGTACATCGGCACTTGGTTATTGGCGTACGGGAGGGGACGGGTGATTCGGGACCTAGCTCAAATGACGCCCCTCCTCCACATAATCACCCAAACCAAAAGGACAAAAAAAAGAAAAGGTCAGGATCGAAGGTATATTAATGTGAATTACGTTTCCAATGTGAAGTGAACAAACTGCCGGAAAAGTAGCCCAATAACACGTGAATCAACGGTTTACCTGAACATTTCAATCTCATCCAAAATGTGAGTATTTGCTCGAAACATTCTAGAAAAGAGCCAACTGAAGTCAGACACTACACTCTTAAAAAGGTTTGCTAAAATCAGAACAATTTCGATACCAATATGCTTGAGCATACGAACTGCCTTTACAATTAGCCTTGTATAACCGACGTGGTTGGCTTTCAGATTTTCTACCGAGGTTGGCTGAAAGTTTTGTTTTTCCTGAAAGTCACATTTCTGTTTACCAGCAGCTGCAAAACCTCAACCGGCCATTTGAGGCTTTGTTGTTGGTACAAAGATACCTGTATATATAACGAATCCTTAAACGCGTCACATTGTTTATAAACTGTTGCAAAAAGCGTTTATAATATGTTAAAAATCTAAACACTAGGGTTTATAGAGTATAGCCCAAAAGAAAATACAAACTTCAGGAATTAATATTTGGCTAAACTGTGCAAACAATTACATATGGACCAATTAAAAACAATTGCCCCCCCCCCCATTTTCGTTAACCAAACTTGGTTTTTCAGAGTATCGGTTTACCGATGGTTTGCTGACGGACCTTGTATTCAGTAATGCCCTTTAATTAGCGCGCGGGAAACTGAACGCCATTTCGCAAACTCAAAACTAGTGGACAGATTTTATAATGTTGTCCAAAACTGAAAATTGAGTAGTTGAAGTCAATGCGTGAATAATTAATTACCTTCTTTTGTCAGAATTCCAATATCCGTCAGGCTTGCTGAGATCGACGACAAACGCACTGTCGCTTCGTGACTGAACTACAGAAGATTCGGTTTGGCAACAACACAACGACGGATCAATGCAACTCCAGCCCACTGGCACTAAACACCTGGGTTTGGTACAGCTGACGAATACACTATGACGAGGATTGGCAGGAATCGACACGCTGATCCTCTCAGCCGCAACGTCCACAAACAGTTCTCAGTTCGGTCACGTTTTTATTCCGGGTCCAGTAGGTTTAAAGTATCGATTTCTCAACCGGCAAAACACTTATCTTTGAAAGAATTGTCCTGAACAGCTGCTTTTAAACATTTCGAAAAGTGTGCCCCGAATTGACATGTCTGGCTTTTAGGTAGATTATGTTAGATAGGCCTAATGCTTTTATTGAAAATGATGACGAGAAAGACATAAAAAGCCAGGTCATTGGAGAGGTAATGGAACCCAACTATAGCAGACACTTTTTTGTAACCAGTTATTGGCCCCGACAAAAATGTGAGTTCCTGTGAGATCATATATCGACGGAATGGTTCATGGACTTTTCTTCCCTGCAAAAAATCCCCATAGCTTTCCATCACAGATAAATTATATAACCTTAACCCTTTGGTTTCAGGCAATGAAGGGTAAAGAAACCGTATAGGGGGATTATATTTAGTGACCCAACTCATTGCCCACCGCATCGCTCTAGGAAATAAGGGAATAAATGTGTGTTTGGGAGGTATTATAACACTCTGTTTAAGACCGGTTTGAGTCTGGATGGGCGATAATTACCCGAGGCGAAGCTGAGGGTAATTATCGCCTATCCAGACTCAAACCGGTCCTAAACAGAGTGTTTAATACCTACCGAACACACATTTAATCCCATTCACAAATACCTTTTCGGTCAAAAATCAAAACAAGTAAAAAACTGGACATTGCTAACTTTTTTGCTCAACAATTTTACTTCATGCTGTATCAAGCACCCCTCTGACTATAATATGGAATGTCCCTCAACAATTCCTTACCTTATAAGGAGATTGACGCGCGCGTCGTGCGTACTGCGCGACGTCGCGCAGGATGCACCTGGGGCGTTGCGTTGTGAATTTATTACTGTAAATTATTACTATACCTCATACATATTCATGATCGAGAGTTGAACTCTCACTGATCAATTCACCATCACGTGCCAGATGTTATTTTTGCTGTTTACTAAGCGCGCGCGCGAGGATTCACGCACAGGGTAAATACGCGTGCGTAGTAGACTGTCGCACGGGTTACCCGTGCGACAGTCTACTACGCATGCGCTTTACAAAGCAATCCTGGAACTGTCGTTCGCTCGTACCCCCCGCCCTGCAAACAGGACGCTGGGATACTCTGATGAATTCACGCTCTGATTGGTTAGATTTTGCGTGACCAGTGACCTGCGCGTAATCACGGTCATGACTCTGCAAGGTTTGAAACGGCCGTTAAGACTGATTCATTACTCTTTTATTCCAGTTTAGAGATGTTTTTTTCTCGTTGAAAAAGCGTAATATTGTAGGAAATTCTGTAAAACTTATCTGTGTTGTAAATTTACAATTCCCGTCACTCACTCACGACGCTCAAAATTTTGTCCACATGGTCCGCAATGAAACAGAAATCACATCCGGTATGGAATGCGCGCAATTCTTTGGGAAGTTTCGGATAGCATTTGCGCACACTGTCTTAATGCGGTCTTGAACAGCTGCAGCCAGATGCTTTATACATAGGTCATAGGCCATTTCCTTCACAAGATTCTGTGAAGTTCATCAGAGTATCCCAGCGTCCTGTTTGCAGGGCGGGGGGTACGAGCGAAGAACTGTCGCACGGGTGTAGTACGCACGCGCGAACATCGCCCAAACGAGCTAGCTGGCTACACGTACACACGAAGAGATGGTTGCACGGCGCGTTATTTTTCCGAGCTCAATAATGCCGGACTAGAGAATAATTATGGACAATAAAGATGCCTCCTGTGCAAAAGAATGTTGTACACAAACTAATGTATTTACAGCTGCACTGTATTGCAAACGAACTGAACTTGTGAAGTTGAGCAATACGATTATTTTGGTGAACTGGACAAGTTTCTCAAAAAAATTGTTTGGGGTGCATACTGTAACGAAAAAAATAAGCAAATTGACGCTGAATATTTATGAGGTATAGTAAAACAAATGTAACATGGTTTATTTCGGGTGGACAGCCGATATTAGCTCCCCTCGGTATTGGAAGTTGACAAATTAGTTCCCGAGGCGAACCTTCCAATACCTCGGGGAGCGATATCGACTGTCCACCCTCAAACCATGTTATATGTGTATACTGACTCACTAGTAGTATTGCACATGTATACGTGAGTATTATGGACGTTCAACCAATAAAACGGTAAGAGGCACTGGATTTGTAGGAGTCCAAATTTCATGTGACACTGGAAAAATGTTTAAGACCGTTTAAGACCGGCCACGTGACGGGCTCTCGACCAATAGGAATGGGTAAATAACTGTATTAGGTATTTATGAATACAGATTTAATACAGGTCCACGTGATAACTCCCCACTTGGAATTCCATCTCTTTGAAGTCATAGTGACAATGACATTATACAAATAATGAATGTTTGTGAGTGCAACGGTAAGAATAATTTCATGAGGTGATGACAGATGAAATGGAACATTTCATCTGTCATCCAATGAAATTATTCTTTCCATTGCACGAACGTGAGACATCCATTATTTGTTTTATATAACACCTGAATAAATCCTTGTCATCTGATTGGTTGACTTTTAATAGCCAATTTATTCAGGTTAAATTCCCGATTTCGCTTTTAAGATCTCCATGATGTTGCCTTCCAATGCCCCACCCCTCAAAGCCTGGTCACGCCACCGCTCTTAGCGTTAATTGAGGTCAAATATCCCAGACGCTTTTTCGAAATATGCACAACAAACACACCCATCATCCGTACCCCTCAAACCATCCTCCCAAAAGGTAAGTAGTTTTTACATTCTACGTTTTCCTTTTCATTGTGTAAAACAATGTTTTTATACACAATTCTGTCAGATAAGTTGACATAATTTGGAGGTTTTTATCAACGCGCACCACCATTTTGAAACGAAAAATAAATACGAGGGGAAAATAAAGCAAACTTCGAGGTGACTATCCAGCTTGAAATTGAATATTGAATTTTGTTGGAGACAAAACAACTACTGGTCAAAAATGTTACTTTTACGGACATAAAAATGCAAGGTTGTGCACAAACCTACGGGAATGTAGGTGCGCGTAACGCACGTTTCGCCCCACGCACTACTGCGCGTAGAGCGTCCATGCGGGAACGGGAAAATTTGTGCATACTCTATGGCACGTCTGTACGCACTGCCGATCTAGTCTTTTTATTCTATATCTATGGTACGAATAATTCAATGACATGTGATCAACGATCCACCAATCAGATGACTGGGATTTATTCGGGTGTTGTATAAAATTATCTAGTCATATATAGCAGAATCCTATTTAAGGATATCATTTCGCACAGGGTATCGATACGTTTTGGCATTAGTAATGGCAAAGTGAACTAATTGTTGGCAAGGTTCCAACTCGATGACGTCACGGTGGCATGGCGAGTCAATATGCTAATAAACGGAAACTATTATACAAATATTGAGTGGCTCAGCGTGGAATGGAAGGAATATTATTGCAAGGTAAAATCTGGACTTTTCCATTTCACGAGGCGAAGCCGAGTGAACTGGAAAAGTCCAGATTTTACCGAGCGATAATATTCCTCCCATTTCCCAATTTAAAGCCACTCAATATTTGTTTTATATAACTGACATATAGATCCTTTTCATTTGATACATTTGAACTCTTTTTCAATACGAAACTGGAGGAAAATCTATTTCTCTAGTCCAAACCACCCCTTCACGAAAATGTTTGAACCCAACGCTGTAGCGCTGGCTCTTTGGAACAATACGCGCTACGCTGAACGCTGAACGCTGAACGCGCACACCAGCATGCATTTGCACACAAATACCGCATCATGATCCTAATTCCTAACTGTTGAATAGTATACAAATATTGAATGCTTCGAGTGGTGTAGTAAAACTAGCCTCCCGAGGTGATCCATGGACCATTCTATTTTCCCGAGGCGAAGCCGAGGGAAAACAGAATGGTCCATGGATCACCGAGGGAGGCTAGTTTTACTTCACCACGAGATAAAGCATTCAATATTTGTTTTATAACACTTCACCCACAGATTCTGCTTGATTTTAATATTTTAAATTATTTAAATCTGAACACAGTTGAAATAAACTTCAATTTCAATAAAAAATTGTTGGAAAATGTATTTCTCTCTTAAAAACTACCCCTTCACGAAATGTTTGAACCCAAGTCTGCGGCGCGCTCTCTTTGGAATAATACGCGCTAAGCACAACGCGCAACGCGCACACCAGCATGCATTTGCACACAAATACCGCGCCGTGGAAATAGTACTTTGATTGCTAATGGTTTAGTACTTTGGTTGCTATGCGCATAGTACTTTTGGCCGTGCACAGAAAGATAGCAAAATTAGATGGTAACATGTGACTCGCTCTCGGCCAATCAAGACACAGAATCTGTGGGTGAGGCGTTATAATATTTCTCATTTTCCATGGGCGGATAGTACTTTTTGAGCCGCGGCGTGAATGGGAGCAATAACGAATGTCATGTGATGTAAGTTCCACCAATCAAATGACTAGGATCTGTATGTCAGTTATATAATTCACACTGGATATTGCCACCTTTTCGCATCAAAGCGGCCTGAGGCGCTTTAGAAAAAAAAACAATTCAAGGTTTTGTTATAACACACACAAATTAGTGTTCATCGCAAAGCATGGGGGGGGGGGAGAGGGGTGAGTGGGGTTAAGGGGAGGGCGTGCACAATGGTCGCCCATGACCAGCCTCGTGCTCCTTTTCATAACAAATTGACCTTTGAAATCGAAAATGACAGATGAACTCAAATTACTGCAGCTTTGGGATATTGAAAAGTGTGAAACTAGAGATACAGATTAGAGAGTCCATTTTCAAATAAAGAAAAGGTATTATGTGATATTGGTTTATTAGCAAATGTCTGTATCTATTTGAAAATTTGACTGTTTTGCCTCTACTGGTTTGCAATGCCCATAACATGCCGTAAGAGGGCGTTCTGCTTCCCCGAAGGTTTGTTGGTCGTTTCAACAAATGATGCTATCGTGCCACACATAAATGCTCTTGAATGGACTTTTCCCACTAACTCGTTAACAAAAATACTG